GGCGCGAGGGGCTCGCCTTCCCGGTCTTTCGGGGTCAGGGGGTCAGGACACCCTGCCTTGGCCAGGCAGGGGCCCCACGTTCTCCCCACTGGCTTCTGAAGAGCCTCCCATGTGCTCCCTCCTCACCTGCGCCCCTCCTGTAGGAAAGAGTGGCGCATCCTTGTGGGACGCAGATGTGAGCGAGACACCTGCTGTGGCGGGAAGGAAGGGGGACCGTTGGGCCCCCTCAGCTGTGCCCACGGTGGGCTCGCACGCGGGCCGAGGGCAGCTGCTCGCGCTGGGCGGCGGGACCTGCAGGGTGGATCCTACAGTTGGAGGCGGCTCAGGCGGCCACGTGTCCCCTGCAACACTCCCAGACTCCCAAGGCCGTGCGCCCTGGGTCCAAAGGGACTTTTAGCCCTTTGTGTCCTGGGAAGCCATGGGCTTGGCAGGGCTGAGAGGGCAGCGGGCAGTCGTGGCTCCTCACAGTCCAGGGCATCCGGGCCTCCAGAGGAGGTTTCTTGAGAAAGAAACCTGAAGGATGGAGAAGGACTGGTCTCTTCTGGAAGCGTTTACTGTCACCGGGAAACCAGAGCACCAGCCACAGATGGCCTCCACACAGGGGGTGCTGCTGCCTGTGCAGTGCGGCCGGGAGAAGGCGCACAGATCCCCACACACACACACAAATACACACACACACACACACACACAACACACAACACACACACCACACACACCACATGCATACACACACCACACACACATACACAAAGCACACATAACGTACACAAAATACACATACATACACACATACAACATGCACACACACAACGCACAAAACACACACACCCCACACATATACACATACCACAAAAAACACACCACACACAGACACACACCACACACAGACACACACCACACACAACATACACACAACACACATACATATGCACAACATTCACACACTTACACACACATGCACACACACATACACACAACATTCACACACTTACACACACACCACAAACATACAACACACAACATACACAACACACATAACATACACAACACAACACACACATACAATACCACACACATACACACAATATTCACACACATACATACACACATACACACAACATACACACAGATACACACATACACACACCACAAACATAAACACAACACACACCATACACACAACACACATATACACACAACACACACACAACATTCACACACGTATACACACAAATACACACACCACACACACAACACACACATACATACACATACACACACCACACACACATACACACACATATACACACATACACACACCACAAACATACACACAACACACAACATACACACAACACACACAACATAAACACGTACACACACCACACTCATACACACACCACGAACATACTTGCAAATACACACAAACACTCAACACACACGTCAGACAGACCTAACTTCAAGGTTGGCTCCTCCACCTAGTTCTGTGTCTGCAGGCCAAACCCTCAACTTCTCTGAGCCTCACATCAAATAAGGTAACACATAAAATGTGTTTCACGTTCATTCAACCAAAATCTAGCAAGCATCCACTCCCCGCAGGCCGCTGCCGCGGACAGCAAGCACCGCGCAGAATGAAGCCGGCACCAGGCCATGCGCTCAGCGCTGGGGGAGGCAGACAGGGAACCAGAGTCTGAGTCGCGACCCCCGTGACAGCCGGCTCTGAAGGAGAGGCCTGGCCGCCAGCAGTGAGGGGGGTGGGGACCCTCATCTATCTGGGACGGTCCCTGAGGACCTGCTGTTCAGGCCACCACCTGCAGGTGTGAGGGGGCCAGCCTTCAAAAGCAGCAAAGCTCCATCCGCGGCAGAGCGCCTGGGCTGCTCACCAGGCCGAAGGGGCCTTGAACTCGGGGACCCCGCCCCTCCCCTCCTGGGGGAGCTCGCCCCCCCCCGTGGGGGAGCGGCGCGGGAGCGGGGCCTCAGGAATCTGCGCGAAACTGGGACTGCCAAGGCACACACGGGAG